GCCCCCCCCCCCGCCCCCTCACCTCTTCTTCATCGCTATCCACCGCCGAGCTGTCGGTGTCCGAGTTCGAGTGTCCCCGCTCCCTCCCGGCCGCTGCCGCCTCCTCGTCGTTGTCCCGCTGTGGCAGCAGCCCCCGGTTTGGGTCGTGCAAGGGCGAGTGGGTTTCCGCCGCCTGCCTCATGTCGTCCCGGGCGTTCGTCTTTTCTTCCAGTGTTGTCCCCGTTACCGCGGCTACTCGCGGCGCGCCCCCCTCCTCCATCTTTCGGCGGGGGATGCGATTGCACACGCAGCAGCAGGAGCGGAGGGAAGAGAGCTGGCTATCTCCTCTCTCTGGAGACACGTCGGACGAAACGGCGGGAGGTGTAAAAAGGCCAGTGTTCGGCGGATGACATGTGTTAGTCGGCACACACACACACACACGTCTTTCATTTCGCGCATTCTTTGCTTGAAACACGTTTTTCTCGCCACCCAGTACAGCAGTTGTCAGGACTTCAACGCGTCCCTTCGATTGGGGCACTGTCTCGAACGATATTATACAAGTAAGTAGTTTCCTCTGTGCGTGTATGCATCTGTATGACTATTTTTTTTTAATACGCCTGTAGACCACCAATAAAATGAAATGCTTGGACCTTGAGGAGCCAGCAAGGCGGATGTCCAATCTGTGCGCACTTCATCAATGCCAAGTGGGTCTTTAACTGTAAGGCAGACGAGAACTGATGGCCGGCGAAATTGATGGTAAGACTTGCAGCGCGGGGGGACATGCAGAGGGCTTCGATTGATAGTGATGAATTGTATGCACCCACATTATCCGTGACTAGTGTGCGTTTGCTACATAGCAGCATTGGCATGTGAGAAGAACCTTGACTTGCGCCATTTCGATATTCAGCAGGCATTTGTGCAGACTGACTTTGATGACGATGTTTTCATGCGTCTACCGCAGGGTTGTGGCAAATTATCTGGTCTGACCGTGAAGCTATGCAAGAGTCTGAATGGTTTGAAGCAGGCATCACGACAATGGCATGCGCACCTGACGAGGTGTTTGGTACTTTTAGGTTATTGCAGTTTCTGGTGGATGCGTGTGTTTTTCGATTGATGGAGAGGGACGCGTGATCATGATCATCGTGGTCCAATCCCGTGAATATTCTCGCAGGGTTGAGGTCGTACTCCGCGTGCTTTTACGAGAGAGATGTAGAGAGGGGGTTGTTGAAGATTTCGCAGCAGAGGTTTGCCGAAGAGTTGGCTGCAGAGTACGGTGATGAGTGGGGGAAGAGTGTGCCTTTGCCTGTCCGCGTGAAGCTCACCGACCTTGACCAGAACGAAGCGAGTTGGTAGGATCCCTGATATGGTTGGCCACTCAAGTGAGGCCGGACATCGCGAACGCAGCAGTATGAGCAGTAGCGCGGTATTGTGCGTCTCCCAAGATGGTGCACTGGAAGCACTCGGTATTTTAGGGTACGTGTGTTGCACGAGTTGGACAGGTATTACATTGAGAGAGGAGTGGTGATCGGTATGAGCACGCAGGTGTTCGTGGATGCCAACTATGCAAGAAAGGCGGCAGACCGGAGGTCGATGTCAGGAGGACTCGTCATGCGTGGGAGTGTGGGTGGGTGACTTGGTTTTCAAAGGACGCCGTAGTGCGTTACGCTTTTCACAACGGAAGCAGAGTGTGTGGCAATTGCCGACGTCTTGAAGGAAGTGCTGTTCTTGAGGCAGGTGTGGTGTTTTTTTATGTTGCCAGATGCGGATATGGCTTGCATCCCGGCGTTCGAGGGTACTCAGGGAGCGATTCAGATTGCGCCCAACCCGATCAAGAACTCCAACTTGAAGCACATCGATACACGGCATCGCTTTGTCAGAGCTGGTAGAGAGGAAAGAAATTGCAATCACTCATGGGCCGACGCAGTTTCAGCATGCAGATTTCTTTAAGGCAATCAACAAGGAGTCGTTCGCGGTGCACAGTGAATTTGTGATGAAGTTGCAGTCAAGAAGGTGTTTTTGGGGTCGACTCGTATTCTATGAAGAGAGAGAGAGAGAGAGAGAGAGAGAGAGAGAGAGAGAGAGAGAGAGAGAGAGAGAGAGAGAGAGAGCGAGAGAGACATGGAGAGATTGGACAAGACAAGGAGGAAGTCTGGTGGAGATTGCAGCGTTTTGGTTGTTGAGTTTGTGATTGTTACTGAATGCTTCGGAGGATTTTTTATTGTTTTGGAGAAGATGGTGTTGATTGTTTTGGTTGTTGTGTTTTGAGATTTTCTTGATTGTTTCGGAGGAGCGGGAATAGAAGTGGGTTAATTGAATATTGCCAAAGCATGACGATGCATACGAGCAGGTGGGGGCTATTTGATACCATGTACTCGTAGCACAGTAGACGGGTGGTATCTTGGGTATACATCTACGGAGATCGCAGTGATGACGTTCTGAGGAACGGGAAGTTTCTTCGTATTTTCCTTGGGAGTGCGATAGCACGGTGGAGATTCATGGAGAGTCTTCTAGTGCCTATAAGCGTGATGCGTAGCTTGAATCGACTGACGAGCTCAAGCACGCCCCCGAATAAAACACTAATCTTATCTTAGACTCTATTCTACACAGAGATGGATTCGCTGTGTCACATAAAGAAAAAAAAAAAAAAACATGACTTTCACCCTTCCACACGGCCCCGTTACAGCAGTATGGTCAAAGCACCCACGGAATTGAGCGCTACCCGAATCATCGATCACGTGCGTGGCTTCATACGGCGTACGTACTGGTGAGGTTGATCACAAACCGTTTCCTTGCTACTAGGAGTTGCGAGACTGAGAGCCGTACATAGCTCCAGGCGTGGATATCCAAACCTACTCGGCGGTCCGCCGGCAGTTTCAATCACTACGCTGCAGTTCTTCACTCAACACTCAAACGGACGGAACAATCAACGCCACTTCAACCAAGTTTCGTGTCCCGCGACCCTCCTCCGCTCTAGACTACATGCAGGTGCGGGCAGAGAGAGATTCCTCGTGCTCTAACGCTCCAACCGCTCTTCCAATTTCACGAGGTAGATGCAGGAAGCATACACGCTCTAGCGTTCTAGTTCAGAGAACGACCGACAACAAACCAATGCTACAGCAGTCAGTACAGCCAGTTAGGATGGAGGAATTGTGGTCCCTTTGATGGAAAGCTTCTCATGTTTTGATGTTTTGCTGCTTGCTGGTCAAAGAAGAGAAAACTTTAACTTTCTCGAAATTGAGAACTTTCGCAAAAACACCTTGGCTGTACTACCTCAGACGTGTATTCCCGTGGTCGACAACAGCGATCAGAAGTGCCCAACTATAGCCACATGGCCATGCAACCACATCCATTCCCAACGCCGCTGCCGCTGTCTCTGATGGTACGTATGCATAGATCGGTTCCATCGCGAAGGCGATTTTCTCCTTCTGTGTGCCAAACATCAACTTTCACATCAGACCCGACAAGAGAGCGCGCACCCGCTTTTAATTGCCGCAGCCAAGATGTCGACCATGGCGACCACTACTAACATGCTGAGGACGTTGCTTTCAACTCACCTGTGCACCGAACCCGCCGATGCGGGAGCACGGGATTGCTTCTGCTCTGCACCTACCCCAGCAGCAGCAGGTAGCTTGAGGTGAGGGGGGCCCGCAGTTGTGAATTCTCGTGCAGCCCTCGTTGGTCCAAGCCGCGAACCCCCTCGTTGCACCGTCTCTCTTGCTTGTGACCACACAACTTCGTGTCTCCACTGCAGAAAAGCATGGGTCGTAAGCGCAAGGCAGGATCTCTTCCTTCGCCACTTGTTCCCTCTTTTCCCGCAGTTGGAAACCCCAGAATCTCCTCATCCGCCGGGGCGAGACCACCGAAAAAATCGGATGTACGCAGCTGGAGCAGCGCCAACCGACCTCGTCATGTACATAAGCGCCCTTCCACCGCGGGCGACACCAGAGATCGGCGACCAGATAGACCAACGCCGACAGCGCCGACAGGCTCCTCGCTGCCACGAGATTCATCTGCTAGGTCCAGCAGGGCAGTTCAACCGCTTTTCGGGGCTTCGAAGGCCCCGAGATCGCCACCATCATCACCGCAGCGTTCGGCGCTGGAACATGTCACAGCAGTCGGCGCACGAGCGGCGGCACTGGTGGAGCCACCAGCTGCAGCGCAACCTCCTGAAGCACAGCCAGGAACCACGCCCGGCGAGGTCATCGTCCACCTCCTCCACGCAAGCGGGTGGCAGCTAGGCTCCTGCTGGGGACAAGGCTGCGGATGCGTGCGTTTCAAACCTTCAACAGCGACACCGAACATTTGTAGTTGTGGGCATCGCAGCTGCGCTCACGAACTAGTGGATGCCCGAGAAACGGACCGCGAGCAGCAGGGGCAGCAGCAGCAGCAATACCGGGGCTATCGCGGTGATGGAGCAGGAGCGGCAACGGCGCACGAGGTCGGAGTGCGATTGAGACGGCTCTTCTCGGCGGTCCGGAATGCCAGGGCTGTCGGGGATTGCGGCCTGTTCGAGGACTCCGAAGGCCTCGGAGGGTGGGGGGCGGGGTGGTTCCTGTCAAGGTGCGACGGGGGCATGATGACGGTGTTCGTTTCTGCATAATCGAACACAGCAGCGTTGTTGATCGTGCGCCTGCAGGCGAGCTTCTCGTCTGCTTCGTACCCAATCCCACCCTTACTCTGGTTGCAATTGCACCGGTGATTATGGGTACCTCGCTCATAAGATAATGATTGCTTCCGCTCATAGGTGCTTTTCCTTGGCAGATACCTGAACACACCACGGATCCTCTTTCCTCCCTCCCCCCCGTGTTGATCATATCAGACTCTCTCGCAGGTATATAAACCAGGCCAGGCAGGCGATGACAGCGCTCGGCGGCGCTTTGCATGACCCCCCCGCCGTGGCGCGTTGCCTCTCTGCTGCCGAGGCTCTGTTGTCCGGTGACACTGGCGGGCGGTGGGTCATGCCGGACTCCTTACGATCCTCCTCGATCTACAAGGTGCGGAGCTCGATATGTGCAGTCCAACAGGCCCATGCTGTTGTACAGAACAGGGGCCCAAGAAACGTCAAATTCGGGTCGAGGCTTTCCGTTTCTTGCTTTGTCGCCACTGCTGTCGAGCACAGGTTATTATATACCGCTTCGTGTAGGAACCGCAGCTGAGTTATGGTTCGTAGACCTATTTCCTTGTTTTTTCGTGCAAAAATTGAGCCTCATACTCTGCTGCAACTGACGGTTTTGAGGCAACATCTACAACCACTGATGCCGCCGAAGTCTACACACGGAGGGGAAGTGGTCGATCCGTGAACGAGACTTTCCCTGCCGGATTTCCGTCAACAAACCTCCTCGCTCAGCCACTAAATCGCTTACATCGCTAGCTTGTTCCGCCACACAAAACTTGCGAATGCATGCATGCACCTCATTTGAGCAAAACCCACCGCAACGTGCGCGACTAATAAAAACATGGAACAGGCGCTCGGCACCGGCATCGCTTCCGAGCTGGACCTAGCCTACTGGCACGCGCGCTACACCGCCGCCTCGCGTTTCGACGCCGGCGGCGTTGCGGCTGACACGGAATCGTCGTCGCACCAAGTTGTTCCTCCTCCCGAGGTGTACTTCGTCGGCCTAGCGTTCCACGTGCCTGCCGTCACGGAAGTGCGAGCGTCGGCCGTGTTGGACAACAACCCGGCTCTCCGGCGAGTGTTGGTGGACGTTTTCGACCTCCCCGTGGGTGACGCCGGGGCACAGCGACATGCGACCAGAAGTACGTGTCGTTGGCGTGTTTTTGGTGTTTGTTGTCGGAGTACGGGTATCGGTTGGAGTATCGGGGTCATGCTCTTTGGGCAACACAGCAGTCGATCGCCGCTGTCTCGCATCCTTTGGCGGTCTCCTGTACGTCATGATATTCTTGTTTCGGAAGCGTCCTCAAGATCAATGAAATTGTGCACGTCTTAAAGAGAGTGTTTAAAACAACTTACATTCGTTTGTGCTGCCTGTTTCATGTTCGGGGGTTGGAAGATGTTGGTACCGTGTCGGTGCCCCTGTAAGCGTATGGCAGCTGCGTACCACACTTGTACTTTCGAAAAACGTGGCTTCGTCCTCTTTTCTCTCTCTCTCTCTCTCTCTCTCTCTCTCTCTTTCTCGCTCTCTCTCGATCTCGTGGTCTGAGCAACCTCCTCGCCGTGCTTTTTAGAAAGTAAACATAACCTCACAGAAAGACTACCCGTTCGAGATATAACCTCGCTTTTCTCCCGAATGACCTCAACTTGCTTTGGCCCCCTTTTCATCCTCGCTCGGTGGCCTCCTTTCCTTGCTCCGTATCTCGTGCTCCAGGCTTACCCCCAAGCAGCAGCAGCGGCGGCGGCGAGATACGGTTCCCCGTCTTGGAAAACCCCCTCCTGGCCGTGGCTCAGTCCGCGTGGCTCGAGACCGCCGTCTGCGCCAGCGCTAAGTCGTGGGTTCCCCACTTCCCTCCCCGGTTTGGCGACAACGAAGGCACGATGCGCGGCTCGGACCCCGGCTTACCACCTCCTATTCGGTTACGGTGCGACGCTACCAGGGATTGGTCGGCGAGATTATTCGCCTTCGCTGTCCCCAACAGACGCGCGCTGGACGCGTGCAAACGCGCGCTCGACGCGTGCGGGGTCGGGGGTGGAGGGGGCCAGCAGGGAGGGTCAGGAGGGATTGTGGAGGTGGGGGCAGGGTTGGGGTACTGGAAGTGGGTGCTAGAAGGCCTAGGACCGTTCCCAAATGGCAGGGGCGGGGGCGGGGGCGGCGGCGGCGGCGGCGGTACAAGCAGGGGGGTAAGTTTACATCTGGGTAAAGCCGGCAGGACGCTCTCTGGTGGAGATGCGAAGGAAGCTCCGCCGCTGAAGTTCCTCGCCATTGACAAGGACCCGTCGAGGGTCCCTGGCGGGACCGGAGTCTCCGCTGCCTCCGCCGCCGCCGTTGCTGGTGGAATCGATCGGGAGCGAGAGCGAGGGAGGGGTAACGGCAACGGGGGGCGGAGGGGAGGGAACAAACGAACGAGACGAGAAGGGAGTCGAGGAGGGCGACACGGCGAAGGACAATCGGAGCGCCCTACGCACAACGAATACCACGGAGGCGCGCCCGCCTGGGCGGTGGTTGAACAGGGTGGCCCGGAACAGCTGCGGGCGTTGAGCGCGGCCGCTTACCCGGTGCTACTCTTGTGCTACCCTCCGCCTTCCGTCGGCGTGGGGACCGGGGCGAGCGGCTGCATGGGCGCGGACGCGTTGGCGAGATTTTCCGGGAAGGTCTTACTGTACATCGGGGAAGTCGGGGGCGACACCGGTAGCCCTCGGTTCGAGGCGGCCCTGCGGGCGGGGTGGGACTTGGTCGAGGAGGTGGAACTCCCGTGCTTCTCCTCCACGGCCAACCGGCTCATGGTGTTCGCCAGGAAGGGCGCTTTCTCCTCTGGCGGGGGCGTGTCCGCTTCAACCGCTGGGTCTGGCAAGAAACGAAAAGACGCCGGCGCTGCCGCAGCAAGGCTCGACACACCGGGCAAGGATGCATGCCCCACTGGTGACGCTGGAGGCGGCGGCGGGGGCGCGGGCATGGCGATGTACCGCTGCTCGGGGTGCGGGGCGAAGGCGGCGGCGGAAGGTGGTGTGCTGCTTCACCGCTGCCGCTTGACGCGATCTGTCAGCTTCTGTTCTGAGAAGTGTCTGACTCTCGACGCCGAAAGGTGGCGGGCGAACCTCGAGGCACGGCACGTTCACTTGGCGCCTGGGACCGCGGTCGAGTTGGCAAACCAAAGTGGAAAGTTCGGCGGCGTGTTTCGCGACAAGAAACTCTTCAAGCGGCTAGCGTGAAAAATCAGTCTTATTCACAAGGGTATCGAAGCCTGCCGTTGTTTTGTTATCCCCTCGGCAAGTCCTTGTGTGTGTAGATAGGTCACGGAGTTCTCCTGCTCTCCTCTCTGGGTAGATGAGCTCCCGTATCGGTAAGATTCCGTTTCCTGTCCCATGTCTTCTGGGAAGCAAGGAGTAGATTGTGTCAAGTCAACCTTGTAGCTAGCGTTTCCCTGACTGCCTCCGCGGGGACACGACAGTCACAGCTGTTAAGGGGCGCCTGCAAAGTTGGAACTTCGCTTCACGGACAGGTGTTTGTACTCTTCCTGTTTTTTTCGAGGGTTCGATTGGTTGGACATCGCTTCTCTTGACGTGTCAACACCAACCGTCTGGGATCGATCAATAGAGGGCGCGTCCCGCCAGTGTTCAAAATAGCACTTGCACTAAAACACGTGTCGAGGGCATCTGTCCATCGCAAGGGTTTCACCCAGTGCCGGTGCTTCTAAACCGTTTATCGGCCAACGTCCTTGCCTGCTGCGCGATTGTTATCCAGATGGGTGATGCTTAAGAGACCGACCCATTCCTAGTATACTAACGGTTGGAGGTCCGTGGGCGCAACGCAGATAGTAGTAATAGTCGGAAGGCCATGCTCGAGGCGGTCGTGTTTCTTTCTGCCTTGGTCGTCAGGCAGGCGATGAGTGGGTTCCACTTCTCGCCGGACCGAAACAAAAACGTGCTGTCCTTGTCAAAGAGCACGCAAGCTGCCAAATATTTAGAGTCACAAGGGCCTAAGCCCGCATATCGTGGTTTTCGTTTATCTGAGGCCCCTACGTCGCCCCCCTTTGTCTTCTCGAATAACGCCAAATAGCCACCGGCAAACCACCAAAAGAACGGTCGTGTAAGCCCTGCTTTCGTTCCGGCAATCGATGGTTAAAGGCACACCCGTGCCAGAAGTGAGACCACAACGTACCGCATTTTCGGGTTGACTCGTCCGCCTGTCTTTTGTTGACCCTCCGACACGGACAACCACTACTAGTAGCAAGCCATCACATCAGGTAAGCGCAAACACAGACCAACACCACCACATGGCGGATCAACAAAACGCCAGCCAGGCTCGCGTGTGATTAACGTTTGCGAGTCTTGCACATGGGGGTTACAGCAGCAGCCTAACCCTCATATTGCCTCCGAAAGAAGAGAAATAGCGCCAACAACCCCGCGTGTTTGTATCCTCCCCCATCCCCCTACATGAGACGAGAAATAGCGCCAACAACCCGGCGTGTTTATGTAGGTTCTACGGTTTTTTGCTGCTATCTACGTCATTTGCACGTCTCCCGCTGAAGCCTCCTTCGCCTCCTCCGCCTCCGCCTCCAGCTCGGCCGCGACCGCTTGCATCATCTCTTCCGTCATCATCTGAAGACAGATATGCATACAATACAATAGGCCATACACGCACGTGTTTGGATTGGATGCCTGCCCCATGGAAACAAGCGAACTGGCGCATCACGCACATCAACAACAATGGACGAGTCTTGGGTGGATGCGTAAGCCACATGGAAACAATCCAGAGCTGGCGCAGCATGCGTATCGCGTGGATAGCGGGTCAACAAAGAGAGCCAGCCCATCGCAACCCGAACACGTGTCGATGTGTTCCGCGTACACACCAACGCTGCATGCAGCAGTCTACACAGTAAGTTCAACACAACCACTTCGTTCCGCTACAGCAGTTGTGCATGAGAAAAAGAACACAGAGCCGACGTCAACCCTTGTCCGTACCTCGTTGGCCTTCCCGAACCTGACGATGGCAATCTCCATGTTTTTTGCGCCCGAGTCCACCACCTCCAGCAATGCCTGCACAACCCCCAAGGGACAAAATCCGCATCAATCCAGGCGACGGTGGGCACGGGGAACCGGGCGGCAAGGGAATAAGGGTACGAGACGGAGCCACGGTCGGGGCTTGCTTAAAAATCAGGCTGAGGGTGAGCGGGAGGGGCGGGATTCTGGGAGTTCCATTTTCGCGCTGCTGCTGTGCTTTTGGTCGGACGGGGAGGTGAAAAGGTGAAGTCAGGATGGAAAAGGGGGCCGGGAAAAATACCGAAGTGCTCCGCCGCATTCGCTTCGTACTTGTACGGTGAAGCTCTTGCCATCCACACAAATACAGCCTCCAGGAAACACAATTATGACAACATCAACGCCGCCACCATCACAAGGCATGACAGCAAGAACGACAACATCAACAACACCGCCGACAAGCCTCACCTTCATGCAGAGCTTCTTCGCCGCCCCCTCGTCCATGTCGTTCGCCCAGTTCTTCTCCAAGAACTCTCGCATGTTGTTGCTGTTGCTCCCGCCGATGGCGTTGGCCTTCCACGCAGAGTACGTACCGGCCGGATCCGTCTGAACAGCCCAATCGTTCGCCAAGAGACAGAGAGGGAGAGAGAGACAG